TTACTAATCAATTAGCTAAAACAAGGGCAAGTTCAAAGGATCCCAAACCTAGGTTCATAGCGTTAAGGGCTTTGGGGCGATCCAGAGTTAAGAGAGCGACGCCGTTTGGGAGCACATTCCCTCTTACAAACTCATCGGCCATAATCGCAAGGGTTCGTACTGTTGGGTGGCGGAAACTGTGGGGGTTTGATCCGTGAAAGGATGTGCAGAGGAAAGGCAGCGTGGGTATATGATTTTTGATTAGCAACGGAAACAAACTACGCATGATTTCCAACAAATATCGAGTCTGACTGTTTCGATGCAAGTGAAGCCATGGAGACAAAAAATAAGTGTCGTGGGAATAACAATTTGTTTTTTATTTTTCCAACAACAAACAACAAACTTCTATTCAACTAGTTTTACCCGTGTTTGCACTAAAAGCGATTTAATAGAAAAAAAATAATTAAATGTATAGAAGAAAATAAAATTATAACTTAATAAATAAGAAAAAATAATTTAAAAACTTTTTATATACAATATTCGTGAATCTAAATGCTACTAAACACTCTTTATATATAATATTTGTGGTCTTCCTATCGTCTGAATCTTCGTCACAACAAATCATTATCGTAAACCTCTTCGACTCGTGACTCTGGGATTTGATTTTTTAAAATATTTGATGTATCTTTGTAATATCCAAAAAATATTTCTTTATTATTGTATGACTGCAATAGAAAATAGAAATATTTGTAGTCATTCTTAATTTGTTGTGAAATATGTATTTATATAATACCAAAAAATATATAGTATCAAAATAAAAAAAAAAAATATATATATATATATATTTTGTATTTCAGGACGTAAAAATGCGTTACAGAAATGAGTACATTCCAAAATGAGACATGTAAAAATAAATTGTGTAACTAAAAGTTACATATTTTTATTAAATGGTGAACATATTTTTATTAAATGAACTCATATTATTATTAATTGTTGGCTGAAAAAAATTTATTGAAACTTGCCGCAATTATATATATACTAGTAATCAACCTGTGCATTTGCACAGAGGAGAATACTTAGAAAAGATAACAATATAAAAAGAAAAAAGAAAAATACATAATCATAATTTAATTCATGAAAAAAAATATAAATTAAAAAATAATTCTAAATATTATTATACACTTGCATTATTTAACATTTGAGTCGAAATTATCTACTGAACAAATAATTGCATTATAAATAGTTGTTGAATTGAGATGGATAACATATTAAAAAAAATGTGGTGAATTAGGCTTAATTTTTTATTAAAAACTTGTAAGAGTGACTTGGGTCGATATTCTCAGTAAGCCTATTTGTTTAATGAGTCCGATTTAGTAAAGCCCAAAGAAAATAATATTTCAAATTAAACCCAATGCACATTGTTTTGAACAAAAAAAAAAAGAATCAGGTAACCGGTTACCAAAATGAGCGTTACAAAACCCTCGACTTCAATAATCCAAACACTCCATGATTCAAGCTCATTTCTCTCTTGTTATCAGTGGATCACGCGTTTTTTCTGTGTAAAAAATTTTCAAGATCTCATTTTTCAAAATTATTGGAGGAAAAGAAAAAAAAAAAGCAAATATAGATATAAATGCACGATTTTAGCTAGAACATTCATGCAATTAATAGACTGATTAGGTGATGTAAGAAAAGTAGCAAAAAAACATGTTAATATTATAGTACTTCTTCGCTGTTTCCATGCCTGTCAGAGTTGGAACTCTGTAACTGCATTAGGCGGGAACATAAAGTAATATAATTAAATGATGAAAATTTAGGCGGGATAATATAATTAAATGCAAGATAATATAATTTAATGCTTTGTTGTACCAAATTATATCTATATATATATATATATATAGATATAGTAATCAACCTGTGCATTTTAACAGAGAGGAATACTTAAAAAAGATAACAATATAAAAAATAAATAAATCATAATTTAACTTATGAAAAAAAAAAATGAATTAAGAAAATGATTCTCAATATTGATTTTGATCAAATAATTGATATGGAAGAACCGTTACAACCATTTTCTTTATGCTAATACATCCGAGCATTTTCATGAGTGGGTGTGACACTGTGACTTAAAATTTTAATTCAATTTTGTAACTCCCTTAATTGATTTATGTTCATAATTTATGGCATTCAAGCAAGTTATTTTGTAACTTAAAAATGAAATTGAATGTTGAAAATTTTGGAGGGATAATAAAATTTAATGCATGATAATATAATTTAATACTTTGTTGCTCCTCTTTATATATATATATATAGATATATAGACATTTTAGTGAATATGAATAAAATTTTCCTACTCTTTCGTCTCCTCTCTGCGATAAAAAATAAACCCTAACCTGCAGCTCCCTCAATTGCCTGCGATTTGCCTTCCTCGGTTCGGTGGGGCCTGGCCTGCGGTCGCCAATAACCGCTCCCATCCTGGATGTCGTGCACCCGAATTTGCTACAGCTCTGCGTGGTCTGGCCCTCGATTGACGGCGAATTAGAGTTCCGAGGTGTTGTCACTTTGGTCGGATTCCGGTGTGTGATGGGTGGCTCCTTCCCAGTCGCCGGCGGACCTTCGATTGGCGGTGGTAAGCCCCTTTCTCTCTCTGTATTTTCCTGCGATTGGAGTTCCCTCAGGTGGTTTCTGTTTTCTCCGACGGAGCTTCCGGTGGGATTATGGTTGTTGGTCGCCGGGGTTCTTTGGTGGTGTTCGGTGGTGTGTGGGTTTGAGGATGGGGAGAGGCCCCGACTGCTGCGACGTCTTCCTGTGGCGGTGGACGAGGTTGAGGAACCGAGCCACCTACCCCTTGTTCGGCTAGTGGTGTTAGGCAGCGGGGGTCCGGGGACCTAGTTCTCTTAGGCTCGGCTAGTGGTGTTAGACGGGTTCGGGAGGGGCTAGTGGGGTTTAGCTGATTTTCTCTCAGTTGGAGGTGGGTCGATTCGAGGAAGGGTTCAGGGCCAGATTTCGGTTATTGTATAGGCGGTTGCGCAGTTTTCGGTAGTGGTTTCTCGGGATGGGACTCCTTCTTGTGTCAATTATTTCACTGCTGGTGGGGACTGCTCATTTACCGGGGAAGGGTTGTTTGTTATCTTAGTTTATTTGTTGTTCTTGTTTTGTGTTATCCGTATCTGTGTTTGTGTTAGTATTTGTGTTTTAGGTTTGGGTCGTTTGCCTCCATTAGCCCAAGTGTAACTTTATTATCCTGTTGGGACCATATACTCGGGCATTACCATGTTGGGGTCATTTCTTTTTCTTTTTCATTCTCCTTTTGGGGGATTTTAGTGTCGTTGTGTTTTGTTGTGTTCCCGAGTTTTACCCTGTTGGGGTCGGTTCTAGGCGGTTTGTTGACATGTCCTCCCATTTTATTCAACTGTTGGCTGTTTGTATTCAGCTGGTGGCTGTTCCTTTGCACATTTGTGCGCATTTATGATTCAATCGCGTGTTTATCAAGATTGTTTGATGTCTTGAACTTGTTGCTGTTGGGTTCTTTTTTGAACCAAGTTAAGGCATAGAGTTGGCCTTCTTCAAAATTTATTCCTTTAAATTTTGTATGCAAAATTCCCGGGGCTTAAGCATGGAAACGACAACCCTATCATTATAAAAAATGTACATAAAATTTGTTAGATTAAAACGATTTTTTAAAAAGAGAAGATAATAAAATATAGTAAAAAAAATCTGGTTACTTCAAAATCATGGAAGACAAATTCAAAACTTTTTATTTTAGAAGGATTTTCAGAATCCCATTTTTTATAAAAAGAACCAAACGTAGAAGTATGTCTTTGTCTTTGTTTTCATCGAGCATGGTGAGCTTGTCAAAATTTTTAGCAGCCATTTAGAAATAATTGCTGAAAATGATTTTGGAAGAATAAAATGAAAGTGTAGTTTTGAGAGCTCAATTTAGGTGTAGTAATAGAATGAATTCAATACATATTTATATTGGTATACAATCTAGAAGATCTTTAATTAAAACATTTGTAACCTGAAATTGTGCATAATTCGTGGGATTTAGGGATTTTCTTTTGTGCATAAATCACTTTGTTAACATGTAACAAAGACAAATTTATTAACAGTTTTTTGTCGTGTGCATAATCTGTGGGATATACAATGTAAACATAAGCGATATAGTTTAATTTTTGCCTAAAATATTTTTTGTTGAAATATATCAAAAGAGTAGTTAATAATATTTTTTGTCTTGTGCATAATCCAAGGGATATACACTGTAACTGATAATTTTTTTTCCATGTTTGCAGGAGCTGATTGAGGTTGGAGGACACTTAATTATTTTTTTTTGCGATTTTATTGATATTGGAAATATGTTGTATTTTTTAATTGTCATTCATTTTATTTTGAATGCTTAATTAATAAACCGATCAATAAAAAAATCAACATCAACATCAACAACATAGCCTTTTAGTCTCAAGCAAGTTGGGGTAGGCTAGAGATGAATCCCAAGAGAACCAATGGTAAGAGAAACACAAAAAGGGCTCAAAACAAAAGGAAGAGATTGGAGCAAAAGAGAAATGAGCAAAAGTCACGGTTCTGGCACGTTGATTGGTAGCCTCCAAGCGCTCCTATCCACCGCTAAATCCTTGGAGATATTCCAATCTTTAAGGTCTCTCTTACCCGACTCTTCCCAAGTGAGTTTAGGCTGACCTCTACCTCTCTTTACATCATCGACCCGCTGTAGAACTCCCCTACACACCGGTGCATCAGGAAGCCTCCGTTGGACATGTCCGAACCACCTCAGCTGATGTTGAACCAATTTCTCCTCAATTGGAGCCACCCCGACCCTATCTCGAATATCCTCATTCCGGATTCTATCCCTTCTTGTGTGCCCGCAGAACCAACGCAACATACGCATCTATGCTACACTTTAGTTGTTGGACATGTTGCCTTTTTGTAGGCCAACATTCAGCACCGTATAGCATCGCCGGGCAAATCGCCGTCCTATAGAACTTACCTTTTAGCCTTTGTGGCACCCTCTTATCACAGAGAACGCCCGAAGCTTGACGCCATTTCAACCAACCTTCTGCAATTCTATGCCTAACATCAACATCAATGCCGCCATCTTTTTGTAGCATCGATCCTAAATACCGGAAAGTCTCCTTCTTGGCCACCACTTGCCCGTCAAGGATAACGTCACCATCATCATGTGTAGCCATGCTGAAAGCGCACGTCATGTACTCGGTCTTCGTCCTACTAAGTCTGAAGCCTTTTGACTCTAGCGTGTCCTTCCACAGCTCTAACTTCCTATTTACCCATGCCCTACTCTCGTCAACTAGCACCACATCATCAACAAAGAGCATACACCAAGGGATATTACCTTGTATGTCCCTTGTGGCCTCATCCATCACCAAGGCAAATAAATAAGG